TACATAGCCCCTTTGCTTCATAGCCGCGCCCACTAATAGGTTTGAGTATACGAAGTGGTTATTTAACAGGGATTCCGGCCGAATAACCATCGGGTACTTGATTGTGACCCGCGGGGATTGTGTATGATTTTAATTGGATTCTGGTCAGGATGGCTGTGGGCATTACACTATTGTTTGTTTCTTGGAGTCGTCGTTACTTGGTCTAGAATTTGTTTCGTGAGAATATACTGTTCTTGGGACCCCTCTCTGAATGTTCTGTGTTTTATCTAGCTGAGTTAGGTGAGGTTGGGTTAGTATTTAATTTTATTTTAGAACCCGGTCAAATAACCCGTCTTGAATATAATATGCTAATGGTGGAACAGACGATTAGCACCAGGATGAGTCTCTAGAATTGCACCAAAATTTCTGAAGATGTTATTTTGCATAATACTAAACACGAAAATGGAAACGACAATGCACAGAACCTGACCTAACCCCTTACCTAATATCCTGAGCTCTCCGGACCCTCTGGAATATTAAGCAGAAAAAAGTTACTTTAGATTATAAGTGAACTGTATGTTCCTATATTTATTGTTTTTCCTAAGGGGAAGGAGAAGCTAGCCATCTTGTTTTTCACTGGCATTGTTATGGCGCCTTGTTCTGTATCGTATCACAAGCTATCTGTGCTTGCAGAGGATGAAGACCGTCTGCCAATGTAGACTAGCAGGACGTGCAAGAGAACTGACAGTGAACAAGAAATAGTTGTTTCAGTGCAACAGCTGATCGTACTCTTACGTCCACAAAAGACGTAATATTCCACGATGCTGCTTCAAGAAAAGTACTTTCATTAGTACACGATACCACAGTAAGTTCTTTCTGCTTAACCCTCTAGGGCACGCAGTAAGTTTTCAAGTTTCCCTGATCCACAACAAAAGTTATATGGGACCACTCAAGTGAGGTCTGGTCATCCTCGTTCTGCAGCTATTTTATCCCAAGTATTTTTTGGTTTTTCTTTGATTAATACATCACTCGATTCGTTATTTTTTGGTTTCAACATAAGCAGAACAAATAGGACGAGAAGACTATATCTATTCACTCCAAATAAAGGAAAAAATTATTTGTGCTGCCAGCTTCATATGTGGGATATTTGCTCATAAACCTACCGAGGTATTATAATAGTTATAAGAACAGAACAGACTTTTGTTTTTTCCAACGCTGGCTTTGTGACGATTTGTGGGAGAGATTTAAGAAAATGCTACCAACCAGGACCGCTGACTGGATGATACTGACGTATAGTACAGCGGAACTCCACCCACGGCCACGCTTTGGTACTTTCTGCAAGCTTCCCTCACAAGATCGAGCAGTCATCTGTAGTGCACGAAGCTTTTATGATTTTTTTAAATTTTTAAGAAAAATACTAAACTTGCAAACATGAATACTGTAATTAAACAAATTTAATATATGAAAGTTTAGCATCGAAACCAATTTTGCTACATAACTGTATTTCACATCATATTTTTGAACACCTGAAACGTAACTTTTTATTTTTAAGTAACACTAAATCAGTTTCACTACACTCCTCCAATATAGGGGTAAACTGAATTTTGGATGTTCTAAAATTTATTATATCATAACACAGTACAAATTTATTATACAATAAGTAATAGGTAAGAGAAGATGATTAACCCACACACAGTTTTAGACAGTCCCTACTTACAATAAATTCACATCGTCTTATCCTGGAAAAGACTTATATTGAGAGAGTTTACATACACATTTACCCTCAGTTCTGCTCACCGATACAACTCAATCCACTTTTTTTACATAATTGCTCCAGAATAACAGTAACCTACAACTATCAAAAATTTGTAGCTTGGAGGCCTTCAGCTAACCTGGTTAAGTGAGTTTCTTTGTAGATAATGTACTGTCTCTTATAAAAATGGCAATGCCGCAGTGGTAATTGAACACCCACATACTGTATGTGACCAGGTCGTTGTTCAGTTGTCATACATATATTGTATTTGTGATGAACAGCCAGAAAATTACATTAAAGTAACCTTAAAGATAATGCCGAACTTGAACTACAGTTTTGTTTGTTTGTTATGCTTCAAGCTTCATAATACTAGGGTTTTATCCAGTTCTTCTGTAACACTTATCAGCTTACTAGCCATTTGTGCATTTGATATTTTCTTTGTTTTGAATTTGAGATCTAAGGCAACAATTATAACGTCATTTCTTCCTGTACACACTGCACCTGTCACTTGACTCAGTCATAAGCTGTGTTCCCAGTCTTCATACCTCAGTTCCAGCCAAAGTCTGCCTCTGTGCAGACATTTTTTGTCATCCTGCTTTTGGCTAAAAACTGTTGTTAACTTGCAAGATTTTAAGGCTGATCGAAATAGTTGTCATTCTTATAATATTGTAAACTAGAGGAATCGTTTTCGCTAGGCCACGGTAGGATGCCACCCTCCGGTAGGCTCCACATTGTCTCACTGTAGTGCATTAAGGTAGACCACATTTTTGGTTTTGCCATTAGCAGCAAGTATGTACAGATTTTTGCCAGTTCCCACTCTGGAGCATCCAACATAGAACTGTCCACGAGAGAAGCAAGGAAACACCAGGTTTAGGCCAACATTCTTTAGGGACTGTCCCTGGCTCACTTTAACCGGGAACTGAAGTCGCTTGAACTCAAATGGCAGGTCAGTGGTGATGAGAGGTATCCATGGTATAAAAACGTCCTCTCCTTCAGCTTTTCCTGTCAGCATTGTAGCTTCCAGTACATGTGGCATCATATTCTTCACCACCAGTCTTGTGCCATTGCAGAGCCTTGGTGGTTCAAGATTTCTTAAGAGCATTATAGGAGTTCCAATCTTGAGAGTGAGGTGGTGAGGAGGCATTCCAGCGGGCTCCAAAGAATTAAGGAATTCTGCAGGGTACTGGACTGCTTGGTCCTGGTCGATTACTGTATCAACAGATTTGAATGAGGTGCCACTGCCTGGAAGCTGTCTGAGTAGAGTCATGTTGATTTCAGCCACTGTTTCATTCTTTGGTGCCAGAATTGCGCGTTCACACAGCCACTTGTGATCCTTGTAGTGGTGGATAATGTTTGGGTAGACCATGTTAGTGAGCTCAGTTGAAGACTTTACAACATTTCTACATCCTTGAGGAATGATTATTTGTCCTTCTGAATCAACAGGGAAAGTTCCATTCCCAATCTGTAGTAGAAGGTTTGCAAGCCGTCCAGCATCCTGATCTCCTTGTACATGTACTCTCATGTTTGTGGATAGGGTGAGTGTCTGAACACTTCTCCAAAGGTATGATGCCTTGAGGCACGCATTCAGTTCATCAGCTGGAGTGCTTCGAGGAATGGCAGGTAGGGCCTGGCGAAAGTCTCCAGCAATGACCATTGTAAAGCCACCCATGAGCTGGTCATTTTCTCAAATGTCTTGAAAGGTCCTGTCCAATGCTTCAAATGCTAACTTGTGAGACAAAGTGCATTCATCCCTGACTATGAGGCTGCTTTTTTCTAAGAGTTTTGCCTTTGCCGATCCTTTTTTGATGTTGCACACTGGATTCTCATTGTGAGCGAGGTTGAGAGGCAGTTTAAAAGTTGAGTGTGCAGTACGTCCTCCTTCTAGTAGTGTTGCAGCAATGCCTGAGGATGCCACAGCAAGAGCAATTTTCCCCTGATGACGTACTTTGGCCAACAGAAGGTTGATCAGCAATGTTTTTCCTGTCCCGTCAGGTGCATCGAGAAAGATCATACCTCCCTGCTCCGCTTGTATCGCTTGCAAGATCTGTTCATAAGCATTTGCTTGATCAGGCACCACGTGAGGCTCATTTTCTTCAAGAAAATTCACCAGAACTTCAACTGAGTAGTCTGTCTCTCTGAACAACTCCCTGTTTGCACCTACTGGTTCTTCTCGGTTTGGGGAAGGCAATCCAAAATCAGTCAGGCCACATTGACATTCCATGTTTTTAGTTGTAAAGGAATTTGAGAGAAATTTTTTGTGAAATGGTAATACTAAGAGATTCTTATGGTCATGGGTGGGCTTGGGATCGGTTCTGTAAAAAGATTTCTTAGTAATGTTCAAGCATTTGTCTATGAAAGATCTAGGGTATTTAAGGTTCAAGCCAATGTTATAGATATATTTATATTCCTCATCAATGAATTTCGGGCTGCAAATTCTCAAAGCACGTAAAAACATTGATGAAAATACTGACTGTTTGACTCTATTATGGTGGGCAGAATAATAATGAATGTATGAACACACATTGGTAGGTTTTCTATAAATACTGAACTTTAAAGTGTTACCTATTCTGTGGATCAGACAGTCTAGGAAAGGCAATTTACAGTCATGCTCTAATTCCACAGTGAATTTGATCTAGGGGGCTAAGTTATTAAGTTGTGGCAGGAAAGCTTTTAGGTCCTCATTACATGGCCAGAGACATAATACATAAGAACATAAGAACATAATCTACATATCTGAACCAGACTGCTGAAGGTGGTAAAATATTACTTAATACTGTAGTTTCTTTTCAAAGAATTCCATATATAGGTTGCTTAATACTGGTGAGAGTGGATTACCCATTGCCATCCCAAATTTTTTAGCATAATATTCTCCATTGAATTCAAATTTACAATCCTTAATACATAGTTTGATGAGTTCGATGAAGATTAGTAGGGTCATTACCTGACCATTGTGGAGTTGATCTCACCCTGCCTCTGTATATATACACCTTGTTATGTACTTCTCCTTAGTCTGTACTCACCCCTGAAGATGTGAATTACACGAAAGCGCTTGGGAACTTCGTGTTTTCTTTTTCCTTATGGTTATCAGCATATACCTAGATCACGCGTACCTACAGTGATTTACTTGCATATATATATATATATATATATATATATATATATATATATATATATATATATATATATATATATATATATATATATATATATATATATATATATATATATATATATATGCAAGTAAATATATTGATATAGATATCTGTTAATACTCAAATAATTACAGAGTGATTTTCACAAAAGTGATGAATGAGTATAAAACTATTTTTTATTAAATGGTCCCCAACATATGCTCAAGCTCATACTCATCACCACAATGCAAGTACGCCCCAGCATTACTTGCTGGGGTAATACAGTACAGTACAGTACAGTACAGTACAGTACAGTACATGGGTCCATCAGGACAGAGTTAGTACTACTCTTACATTTACTGTATACATTTCCCTTGGAATATTTATCATAAAACACTCTTGAAATTTTGGACTTAATTAAGAAATATTTTAATTTCACATAAACACTAATGATATGACTAAACAAGTAAAGTAATTGGTAGTTTCTGGCAGTCGTAGTCTCTTCAGGCAACCACACCTCTTGGGTGAAATTACTCAGTACAGGCCTGGGACTTGGAGGGACTGGGTTTGACGCTGGTCTTCAGTCTTGACAGGACTTCTCGTATAAAAAAAGTGATGAAGATGCCCAGAAAGACGAAGATTTCAATGAACGTGATGAACGAGCAGCCGAGGAAAACACCGGTGTAGCCTCCCAGTTCACCTGTGAGTGAATTCTATAGTGTATTACCTTTTGTATAAACTTGGTTCGCTAGCTTCATAAAGTACTACAGTATACACATACAGTATCAGTGGTCCATTACACATTTTCTTAAATTACACACCTCCTTCACCATGTCTCAACAGGTTTCCTGTATTTTTTAAGTTTCTCAGCTTCTTGGTACAGAAGAGCCTCATTATATCACGCATTAATAAACCATAATACAGTACTGTACCCGTATGGTGCAATAGCTGTATATAACAAACTTTTTTTTATTTTCAAAATGAAATTCAAAGTCTCTACCAGATTAAGAAATTGTACGTCAGATATACCATGTAATAATTTACCTGCACAGTTTCTAAACATATCTGACAAAAATATAATTTATCAGAAAACAATTCATAATCCAAGCTTCACTGGGAGCGTGTGCCTCCCAGGCCAGACCCCCTTCCTCCCACTCTCTCCCCCCACCTGCCTTCAAACACAATACTGTTGTGTTTAAGTGAAAACAAGTTAAAGATGAACACACACACACACACACTCCACAAGCATCGTTACGGATAGCTCTCATGACTTTCAAAGTGAACACTGTTGTAATGGGCCCCTGTCTCATCAACAGAACATATTATATAAATGGGTCAATATATCTGATATTATATTCAGATTCACCACCTTGATCTAAAGATTTCCTGAACAAGACCTTTAGTGGGGTGCAGATCTTGTTTGCCACTTCTATCACCTTGGTCTGTACTCCGTCCACTTCAGGGGCTTTGAATTATTTCAAGCAGGCTACTTTCCTTTTGGTGATTATCGTCTGTAATTGCTATCTCTGAACTCATTTTCCACTACTGAAGTATACAGCTACTTTCTCTTTGGTACTGGCGTGTTATCCATCGTTTTCTCTTTACTCCCGGCATACGCATAAAAGAACTTGGGTTGGGCTAATTTCTTCTCAGAATGCCGTTTATTGACCTAACTTCACGATTGACCACATTAAGGGATTTTTTTTTTACAACATAACCCGCACGTCTTGTATTTTTTCTTAGTCTTCCTTAGTTCTGTGATTCGTCCACCTGGTCTTATTCCCTCTTCTCTTTGTTTTTCGGTGTATATATTCCTCTACTGTTATCTCGAGGATTTTCATGAAGTTTTGCATCGATTCGTCAATGTTTGATTCCTGTCTACCGATTTCCTTCCGGTTAATTCTCTGTAGTTTGTCTCTCGTGAGGTGGTAGTCTCCATGGTTGGAGTCATATTATTCCTCCTTAACTATTTTCTCTCTATTATCAAAGATTCTATTCCATCTTAGTATGTAGTGGTCGCTGGCCGGGGATAGTTTCTCCCCGACGTGGTCCTCGTCCACCATAGCCGCCTCAGTCGTCAAGACTACAGTAAATCTAGAATGTTGTCTCCCCTCGTGGGTTTCGACACGTGTTGTGTGAGGAAGTCTTTTGAATGAGATCAAGGAATTCTTCTCCCTCGGCTTGTGTGGTAAGATGCACCAAGTCTATTGGCTCATTAATAAAATCTCCCATGATGTGGGTTTGTGCTCTAAATGCTGTCTGGATGAACTCTATGAAGATCTACTACTTCTTCCCCGAGGCTGAGTCAGCCTTATGGCACGCACCTACTGTCCGCTTGCTTTGGTTTTGTTCTATCAAATAACGCCAAATAGACTCGGATGATCCCATTTCGTTTAGCTCATCATTACCGGTTACTGGCAGGTGACATACAGTTGTACACCACCACCTGTCTGTTCTAAATGCTGGATGATAACCTGGTGAGTAAAATTCACGCTGCGACACATTCTCTCGACCCCAGGACTCGCTAATTGCAATGATGTCTGGTTGCCCTGTGTCTCATATGCGCTGAATACATTAGTCTTATTAACACGCTTCTGGCATTTGTGTACCAACAGTTGGGTTAAAAGTATTACTTAAAACTACAGCATGAATGTTAACATTACTTACAGTTGGTTCACCACCTGCCCCTATTAGTGGGAGGGCTGGTACACTACGTCGACGTCTCCCTCTTCCTGTAGCCTGACTACTTTACCACTTCTGTTGACTAGCTCAGATATTGATAAAAGAATTATGACAAAATATGGTCATGAGAATACAGCTATCATGGCTGAGGGCAGAGTATTGTACCCTCTTACACTTGGTGACATTGAATCTTAACAGCCATTTCTTCGACCACTCTTGAAGTTGATAAGAGATCTTTCTGTAGCTCTTGACAATCCGTTTGGTTCTTAATTTCCATAAATAACTTGGCATCGTTCACAAACATTTGTATGGAGGAGTGTATAGCTTCTGGCGTGTTTTAATGTAACAAAGAAACAAACAAACAACTTGTCAGCCCACGAAAGATGAAAAAAAAAAATTGTATGGTGGATGATTTCCTATCACTTTAATATTACTGATACTTACTCATAAATTCATCTATGGTTGAACGCCAGCACTTGACCTCGGTGTAACGAAGGTTGGGGAAGAAGGCCACCAACACCGCCACGTCACTCCTGCCAGCAAACATCAGAGAGCCAGTCATGAGACATTGATAATTATTTAAGATGTTAATGATTATTTTTTTTACCATTATTTATCATTTTCCTCCTTATCAGCTTACTGGCATTATAGTACACAGTAAGATGGTGTTGTGAAGGAGCCTCCAAGCCTCTGGTCACCTCCAGCCAGCTTACTCATCTAACATACACTTTCCTTCCCCTCTCCCCTTCTTCTTCCTTTACATAAGACAGTACATGCATTAACATACACCAAGTTCCTCCTTATCATACACATCGCCTTCCTCTAAACCCGTACGTTAAACGGATGAACTGTACTGTATGTTAAGTGGACGTTAATTTCACATATAAACCCGTTTCGTAAATTGACACAGATCCCAGAACATTGCAACCATTTTTGTATACCTTAAATGTCCTCAAATACTGACACCAGGTTAGTTTAGGTAAGGCAGTTTATTTTATCACACAGGATCAGAGTTTGGCCAAGTAGTAGTAATAATAGGGAGTAATTAGCTAAGGGTGCCACGGTACGAGTATATTGGAAGTGTTATTTTGTACTTGTCCCTCTTACAAAACTATACTGTGCAAAAAATACATAAAGATAGACACAGGTTACATAATTTGCTGCTGTAGTTTCATATTTCACCACCACCACCATACAGTATAGCACAGTACTAAGTTAATTAACATAATCTGAGTAACATATAGTAGTGAGTGTATCATGGCAGTCATCAGACCACTCAGTGTAGGTGGAACATGAACTTGTGTGAATATTACCATAAGTAGTTACCGTTTTACTGTATACCATAAGTGAAAGCTGTTTTGCTGGCATTTCTAAGCAGTCTATTTTAATTCATTCAGGAAAATGGCACTAATATGTTCATGAGTGTTTTTTTTTGTGTGGGGTATAATTATTAACTGTGGATCACATCAGACTCACCCGTTAGCAAGAGCAAACTCGTTGTTGATGTCTTCCCGGAGGTAATCCTTAATCGGCAGGTGAGTGGTCTGATATGTGTAGTCATAGCGAGCACACATGCGTCGACACCTTTGCTTTGCTGTGTACGCAAATGAAGCATCTCAAAAACATATTTAACAAAATGGTGTATTGGTTCATACTGTTTGATAGTTATAAACATGAGATGATTTGCAGTGTAATATGAATAGGAATTGTTGAAGTGATGTAGTGTAGTTGTGTGTATAGAGATTCTTGTTGAGGATGTAGCACTGTCTGGAACATGATTTATTAACATTATAGATGTGTTAGCAAGGGTTCACAAGCATATGTTTTATCCCATGGAAGAGAACTTCTCGTCAAATTCAGGTCTCGAGGATAAAGGTGTAGGTCAATCAACAGTCAGAGGTAAAGTTATGATTGGTTTACAGGCTAAACTTGCTGCTAAATTTAGATGGTGTGGCTAAGGTAGATACACAAGAACTGTAATAATTTGTGAACCTAAACTACAAAACTGGGCTGAACCTTAAAATATGTGGGGCTCACCCAGGGTCACGTGGTAAACATCTTGAGGGAAATTAAAGAATCCGATTAGTTTACTCTTTTAAGTTACCGGTATACTGTATTGTTCTCATTAATTCATTAAGTGACGAGTAAATTTCAGATAAGTTGAAGGGAGAAGGTGTACAGTACAGTACAGTACAGTACAGCACAGCACAGCACAGCACAGTACAATACAGTACAGTACAGTACAGTATAGTACAGTGCAGTATAGTACAGTACAGTATAGTACAGTACAGTATAGTACAGTGCAGTAAAGTACAGTACACTACAGTACATAGCCTGGGGGTGTGATGGTGGCTCCACATTAAGTGTTGTTATAGTTTTTGCTGAGTATTAACTGCTTTGATCCTTCATGTTGTTCAGCTTGAGGTATTTTACACAATACTGTCGTGTGTTTTATGAAGCGGATGCTGTTGCTGCCTTAAATTTTAAGAGGTGAACAACTCTGTTCCTCAGTAATGGTGTGTGAGACTAATGCCCATAAGTTGCAGAATATAGCTACACCAGGTTCAATAATGGCTGCTCTAACTTAGTGTTTTAATGAGTTATGGTTCTTTGTTTATTTGAAGAGTCTGGTAGAGATATCTTTACCTAAATATTGCCAAGACTACTTACCTTCCTGCCAGCACTGGTTAGCCTGAGACTGAGTCATGTTAGCATATCTCTCCTGAGTTGTGGGAATCTTGTATGTGATTGGGTAACTCATGTTGAGAGAGGTAAACATGAGCCCATAACAGTGCTGGTTGACATTCAGGGGACACAGTGGCCAGTTGTCTGTAAAGGATAATATTATATGATACAGTATTGGTAAACAGATATAAAGACCATTAAGAAAAGATAGAATAGGTTTTGTACACTATGAAATTGTTAAGTAACCAATTGTAAGAGAGACTCAGACACACATTGCACCAGTGAAGTAAAGTGAAAATGGAAGAGGAAATGAAGTTAGATATAGTATTTGAAGTAAAGGATGATATTGTTAGGTGAATGTGTATAGTTAATGTAAGGTGATTTAATTTCTATCTGTTTCGATGAATAATGCAGCTGACTATAAAGGATGTGATCTGTGATTCTAGTTTATGTTTTGTAGACTCCATCCTTCCTGCTGGCTTTAGGTAACTAGAGGTGTTTATAGCCGAACACAGATCTTGCCCACATCTCACTACCGCCTGGGAAGATATTGGAAGCATAATGTGTTGTCTAATGGTAGACCCTGCTGCCATATGTGACCAAGTCCCAGGTTGATGATGTGACTTTCTGCCTCATTTACACACAAGTGCTGGGTCTCAATTTTTTCTCTTACTTTGACAACACAACATACATATATCGTTTCTCACTATTGATTTTTTTTCATTTTAGTAGTTATTTATGCTTCTTTAATAATAATATTTATTATTATTATTATTATTATTATTATTATTATTATTATTATTATTATGATTATTATTATTATTATTATTATTATTATTATTATTATTATTATTATTATTATTATTATTATTATTATTATTATTATTATTATTATTATTTCGCCCCCCAGGCCCTGATGTGGGTCAGTGACCTGTGCCCGGGTGGGCTAATCCCTGTAAAAAAAAATGAATAACACAGGGGGTAGATTTTCATTCACTTAGTTGCCGTCAAACACACGCTCTAAACTTTCAACCTTCAGATAAATCTATGATTTCAGTTGATGCCAGATTAACCTCATGGCTGTGATGGGAAACATGATCAACATAGCCAATATGATCAACATAGCCAATATGATCAACATAGCCAACTTGCCACTGTGCAGGGTCTGGTGCTGACATGACTCACCATCTGAGTTATCTAGACCATAAGATGAACAGTTGCAGACCCGCCTGAAGCAGTAGCGAGTGGCCCCTACATCACAGTTTGGCTCAGTGTTGAGGAAGGATTCTTTGTCCAGGAGGTAGTTCACCTTCAGTGATGGCGTGCAGTGTGTCTCTGACCAGTCAAATACTGTCTTCATGCCAGTGTCTCGCACCTATGATAAACAAACTGGGTGAATAAACTTGGGTTACATTCCATTTAATGTGGGAAGGTTAATGGGAGCTCCGTAGACACAAAAAGTTTAAATTCTTTGCTCTCATAATAATGCTGTACTTTTCTTAGGGACCCTTGACCCATCCAGTATGATAACAGACACAAGGAAATGTTTTACAAGCTTTCCCTCGGGTGTACATCACAAAACTTTAGGATTGTACAGTAAAGTATACGTGTTTGATCACTGCTAATCTTTACTCAGGTATTTTCATATTTTTGCCTGAAGCCCTGTAACCGGATGGCCCTTGTAACACTATACTGACTGCTGACTGAAGGCTTCATGACCTCTCATAATGGCTGCCTGGTTTGAAGGAGGACAAATTATTTTGAGAGAGAAAATTACAATGAGGGTAGAAAGTCTGACCACAGTGAGGGCGACGTCCACAGCAGTGTAGACCCTTGGGAGGAGTGGAACACCTTGGCCCACTGCGACAAAGGATGGGTGGGTGTGGTTGCTGATGAAGGTCACCTGCATCCCAGTCTTTAACATAAGTGACACGTCCAGGATCCTTGGGTCAATTTCTGTCCACATAAATATTTTATTAGTCATTTTTGGAGGTACAATGAAAGACAAATGTCGTGTCGTGAAATTTGGTGAAAACATATCCAGAAGGGCTAAACTTTTGGTGCGCTCTGCCTTGTGGTAGGGGGGAGGCTCATAATGTTTCAAAAGTTATATTTAATCTTCGGACAAAACCGCGACACGACTTTTGTCTTTGTTTGTATAAGTTGATCACTCGTGCAATAAACAACATGCCTAACATCTTAAAAAATACCCCGTCGATGGGCATTTGTGAGAACTATAAGAAAACACTCGATGGTGAACATATTATGAAAATAGTTTTTATTAATAATCATGGTGGACTTGACCCTCATTAACTACAAGTGATGACCGCCAAGCAATTACTGTACTATTATCATAACACAATAGAGGTCACTTCTTTGGTCTTTCCTGAGCCCTCTCCCTCATAAAAGAAAATACAGTACAGTATTTTTCTGTCAGAGTCGGTCATAATATTAATGCACACTCGGTTAAATACTGCCCTACAGGCGGGGTCCCGTTGTCTCGCGAGGGTTGGTAGGCCTGAATGTGAGGCATTTCGTACTTAATTTGGTAGGCCAAAATTTGCTATTTCATTGACACTATTGAATTACTTTCTTACAATATGACTGGAGAATGTCAGTATATCTAGATAAGTTAAACTGTATGTTATATTAAATGTTCCACACACCATGGACTACAGTAACCATGGAAGTGGACGAGTTGCCATATAGGAATGCATTATATGTTTAGCAGAATTAATGGATATAGTAAAGGTATAAGATTATTTTGCAACGGAATTTCGAATCTGTATTTGTATTGCTACTTCACTTTGGGCTAATGCCACATTATGTCATTCTTTATTCGTATTGTAAAATATACCAAGCTGTTCCGAAACATCTGAATAGCTCCACAGTTTCTCATGCCGTCATAATGGAACCCGGCCCAACGACGTTATACCATACGGTCGAAAATTCCGGAAAGTCTAGTACCGGGTTTCGTTTCAGAGTGCCGATCACTTGTTTCGAGCACGCGTGGCCGAACTCATACACGCTCAGGGCGACCAATGCGAGAAAATGCCTCAGGGGCCTTTTTGAAACACTTCGTTTGTAGTGTCAGTTTGATGCGAGCAGGGTGATGCGTTAGAGACTAGAGAGGGAGACATTTACTCACCTGGGTGATGTTGATGTAGACACACCTACTCATTATGGGTAATTATCCAGGCTGTTTATATAGAGGCACACACATCATCAGCGAGAGACTTGTACTGTATGTTGCACGGGTTGCAGGATCAACTGGTATAGTGTAGTGGATGCTGCGTCAGTTTACTTGTATTTGCTATAATACCGTTGCCAAAAAAGTGCTAGAAACATACTTCACTACTGTACACACACACTGCCTTGTTTAATGCTGTACACTTCGTTGTCGGGTAGTGGTGGTCCTCTTTGACTCGGTAATAGGATAGTACTTTGTTATTAACAGGCGGCATCGGGGTAATTAATGATCATCTTAGGTGTTGTTGAAGAGTGTAGCCTTACATGACCTTTAACAGCGAAGTCATACTCGTGGTCGAACTAAACACAGCCAAACACTGTACCATTAACGTATGATTCCAGGGACGCTGAATCACAGGGCTTATGACGATGAATTTTACCGTATTTACACTTCAATATATAATAAAGCACCAAACTAATTTACTAAACAGATTTTGTAGTGTTAATCTTGTTGTTTGGTTAAAATCGTACTATTATTATTTTCCACTCACCTGGGTAATCATCTTGGGTAATGTTGACGAAGAGTGAGAACCCCAGATACTCTCCCTCCATAGCCTGGGTGTGGTGGGCGTCTGCGTAGTAGGTGTAGCATTTGCCCGCCATGGTAGGCATTGGGATGAACGCCTTGCAGCACTCCGTTGAATTCGTCCTGGTTGTTCCCAGCCCACACCGTAACACTACTTCCTCACAGCTGCCAGTCACCCGGGCCAGGGATGTGTGTATTATTGTGTATTGGAAAGGAAGGGGAAGCATAGGGAAGGTGGGAGGATGAGGAGGGAGAGAAGACTAGGAGAGACAGATGGAAGGAGAAGGGGGGGAGGGGATAGGAGAGAGAAAGGGAGGAATAAGGGAGAGAGATGGAGGGAGAAAGGGAGGAAAAGAAGAGAGAGGTGGAGGGAGAAAAGGGGGAATAGGAGAGGGATATGGAGGGAGATAGGGAGAAATAGGAGAGATGGAGGAAGGGAGGATGAAGAAAGAATGGAAGGAACATAGGATGGATTATTTAGTTACAGTACAGTATTGCAATATGGTACATTATAAATAAAAGGTACAGTTGATACAGGCAGTGATCCTTCCTCTACCCAAGGACAGGTATAGATTCCCAGAACATAAATACAATATTACTTTGCCGCCACTCGGAATCAAGTATGACGATCATCCAGTTATTATACAATGATATGAGTTATTAAAGATGTCACCGTCGGTAGGGTGAGTTTTGTAATTTTTAGTTGAAAGACGCTGTGGCCCCCTTGTGTGCTTGAAGGTTGTATGATCCTCTAATTTATGGCAGGGAAATAATTAACAATATTTTTGGTAATTTTGTGACACCTGGTATATTAATTGGTGATCTTGTAGTGGATATCTCCCCTACAACTACAACTGCCGTTTGTTGCTGACTAGCCGACCCCTCTTCGAATTCCCCAGCTTACTTCTCGTGGTCTAAGGTCGGCAACCAGCGCCGCCTAACAGAGCGGAGGTCAACTATCAAGCCAAGCCTACCCGCACTATATAAGACCTCACCTGGCCGTGACCTGCCCTTCTTCTACCTACAGCCACGCAGCAAGCAACACCTCCTCTGAGCACGCTCCCCAACCAGCTCTCTCTACTCCATGCTTGTAACCACGCTGCCACTTCCCAGCACCAAGCTGCACTGTACATCCAATACAATATATGTACAGAGAGCACATTGTGAGTTTCCTTTCTCCAACCCATCCTGAGTGTGAACCAACTTCTCGAAACCCCACAATCTAACTCAGAAATATATCCACACGTGACACCAAGTTTGACCCATTTCTAATATTGTCCTCATTCCTTGCCCCCTCACCTCACCCCCTCCTGCCTCAGTATAAATTGCTTCCAGTAAACCTCACAACTTGTGTCATTTATCATAAATAATTATTAATGTAAATATTTCAGACTGTGGCCTGCAATTTGCTGTACATCTTCTGCCATCAATCTCCAGAGAGGATGAGCAATTTGTGCTTCTTCATTCCCGTAAGGTAACTTTTTGTGTTGTTAACTGTCTAGTAGCAATAAGCGATTACCATAATTTTAAGATTTTTTTTTAGTTGTCTCGTGTATAGAACTTCAACAAAGTATGTGTTAGTATAGTACAGTACTGGTATACATTTCATAGATGTTTCATGTAATACATTTATTGATTCACATCTTTACTTTTATTGCACGAAACTAATCAACCAATTAATGTTGCTGACACCTTTGTTTCATCTGGGAACTCCCCAAGAGGGGTTGTTCAAAGCACCTACTGTATATCCTAACAACTTTCACTGAAATGAGTGTGTGAGTGTGTGTGCTCGTCCACACAGTTGCCCGACCGCGTGGTTAGGTAGCCTGCGTCGTGTCAACACACGGACCCCAAACAACTTTAAATACCTTAAATAAGTTATACAGTAAAATAATTTCGTAAAATAATGTGTTATCAAACGTTTAACAAATATTTCTAAGGCGTATAAATGTTAAAATATATCAAATTAAACTTTTGAGTCATTTACAAAGTGATGGTCCCGATTACACTCTGTTCCTATTAATTCTTATGGGAATTAATATCCTGTCATTCGTTAAATTACTCCCCGAGTCTTTTTCCTGTTCCTTATTAAGCTTGGATAACGAGGACCCCTGTACCACAAAGGGGTTTAATATTTTCTCATACACCCTTTAAAGGGGTCTGCTATTTCAATCACTAGGAATACCCTTTTTATACTTCTCTTGTACCTTTTATGTTTAACCAACAGAGATGTTATTTAGAAATATATTAAGGGTTCATACATAAAATATCCCTCTATAACCAGGGAGGGGAAGGGAGGTAACCAATGAGCCCTGAAAGATATAGGGCGCCACATGGACGTCTGGCTCACACCTCAGCAGCGAGAGACTTGTACTGTATGCTGCACGGGTTGCAGGATCAACTGGTATGGTGTAGTGGATGCTGCGTCAGTTTACTTGTATTTGCTATAATACCGTTGCCAAAAAAGTGCTAGAAACATTCTTCACTACTGTACACACACACTGCCTTGTTTAGTGCTGTACACTTCGTTGTCGGGTAGTGGTGGTCCTCTTTGACTCGGTAATAGGATAGTACTTTGTTATTAACAGGCGGCATCGGGGTAATTAATGATCATCTTAGGTGTTGTTGAAGAGTGTAGCCTTACATGACCTTTAACAGCGAAGTCATACTCGTGGTCGTACTAAACACAGCCAAACACTGTACCATTAACGTATGATTCCAGGGACGCAGAATCACAGGGCTTATGACGATGAATTTTACCGTATTTACACTTCAATATATAATAAAGCACCAAACTAATTTACGAAACAGATTTTGTAGTGTTAATCTTGTTGTTTGGTTAAAATGATACTATTTGGTGCATCGTTGCTTTTCCAGTTACGAGAATATTCAACTTAAGAACCTTTGAGAATCCTAGCCCAGGGTCGCCAACCATTGCTACATTACATACTTCGTCTCTTCACGTTAGGAAATCCCAAATTCAGGGACGGACGGCAGTACCTGTAGGATATGGCGTCAATGAGCTGCGTGTAGGTTAGATTATGGGTACGTAGTAGGTGAAGGAGCTGCTCATGTGACTCCTGCAGGAACGTCTGGCCTTCAGCACTCACCAGGAACCCCTCCTTCAGGATAAATGGCGACCCGGTGGTGACGATGAGGTAGTTGGCAAGGCCGGAAGAGATGTTGAAAGCTGGTGGAGACAGAGGAGGGGGCGTTGATTGCCGTCCTGTAACACACCACCCAACCCAACCCAACCCAACCCAACCCAACCCAACCCAACCCACCTTACCTTATCTAATTTGGACTTAACTTATTTAACCGTAACTTAATAATTTACCCATCTAAACTGACCGTACCTAAGCCGCATCATATTAATGGTGAAGGACAGGTGTGTGGTGACAGGTGAGAGAGGACACATGATGACAGGTGTGAGGTGACAGGTGAAGGAAGACAGGTATGTGGTGACAGGTGGAAGAGGACACATAAGGACAGGTGTGTGGTGACAGGTGATGGAGGACATACTAGAACAGGTTTGTGGTGACAGGTGTGTGAGCTTTACCTTGCAGTTTCCGTCTGGAGAAGAACTGCCTGTTACATAACACTCCGGAGGGCAGCTGAAGTTCCCCAGTTGTGCTTATCTTCACCGTTGTCTGTGGGGGAAATAGGTGGTGGTCGTGAGGAAGAGGAGGAAGTGATCGTTAGAAGGAGGAAGAAGAGGGAGAGGGAGGAAGGGGCAAGTAAGTGAAGTGGGAGAGGATAATAATAATAATCTTAGACTCAGATGAATAGGAATAAAGTAATGGTGTGATAAGTGACCCGGGAAGGACAAGACTCACAAGTGACATAACTATTTACTTTATGGGAGAGGGAGGTGGGGAGGGGGGGAGGGGGGTGGGGAGGGGTGGGGGTGGGGGAGGGGTGGGGAGGGGTGGGGGGGGGGGTGGGGGGGGGAGGGGGTGTAGGGGGGGGGGGGGGAGGGGGGTGGGGAGGTGGGGTGTGGGGGGGGTGTAGGGGAGGGGGTGGGAGGGGTGTAGGGGGTGTAGGGGGTGGGGGGGGGTAGAGGGGTGGGAAGGGGTGGGGGGGGTATGAGGGGGTGGGGTGGAGAGGGGGTGGGAGGGGAGGGGTGGGAGGGGTTGGGGAGGAGGGGGGAGGGGGGAGATGGGGTAGAGGGGTGGGGAGGGGGAGGGGAGGTTGGGGTGGGGAGGGGGTAGGGGGTGGGGAGGGGTAGGGGGTGGAGGGGGGGAGGGGGTGGGGGGTGGGGAGGGGTGTAGGGGTGGGGAGGGAGTAGGGGGTGTAGAGGAGGTGTAGGGGGTGGGGAGGGGTTGTAGGGGGGTGGGGAGGGGTGTAGAGGGGGTTGGGAGGTGGGGAGGGGTGGGGAGGGGTGGGGAGGGTGTGGGGAAGGGGTGTAGGGAAGGGTGGGGAGGGGGTGTAGGAGGGGGGGTGGGGAGGTGGTGTAGAGGGGGTGGGGAGGGGGTAGGGGATGGGGAGGGGGTGTAGGGGTGGGGAAGGGTGTGGAGGGGTGGAGGGGGGAAGAGGAGGGAGGGGGGGGGTTGATTACATGCAACAAGTAATCACACACACATGATTTCTTTGGGGTTGAATCATAGTAGGTAGTAGGCAGCTACCAAACAGGGAGGTACTACCGCCTGTGTTGTCTAATGGTAGACCCTGCTGCCATATGTGACCAAGTCCCAGGTTGATGATCTGACTTTCTGCCTCATTTACACACAATTGCAGGGTCTCAATTTTTCCTCTTACCATTGACAACACAACATACATATATTGTTTCTCACTATTGATTTATTTTTTTAGTCTTTGTATTTATTTATGGTTATTATTATTATTATTTTTTTAGTATTTTGTTATTAATTTTTATGAATTATTATTATTATTATTATTATTATTATTATTATTATTATTATTATTATTATTATTATTATTATTATTATTATTATTATTATTATTATTATTATTATTATTATTATTATTATTATATTTTCGTCCCCCAGGCCCTGATGTGGATCAGTGACTTGTGCCCAGATGGGCTAATCCCCGAAAAAAATCTAAACTGTATATTTAACTATCTAACTGGGCAATTAGCCATATAAACTGGGTAATTAGCCAACTAAACTCGGTAATTAGCCATCTAAACTGGGCAATTAGCTAACTTGCCACCTAGAGTCCTAGACCATACAATTAACCAACCAAATCCTGGCTAATTGAACCATTATAACACACCGACCATCATGACCTTAACGAAACTAGCCTGAGACTTTGGATCCCTCCTGATGAAGTCAAGGAAGAGTCTGCCAGCGACGATTAACAGGAGGATGAACATGGTGAGGGTGGCGATGAACCAGAACACACCCAGCAGGTTCCTTCTGTTGTTCCACACGTGGCCGATCCCATGAGCCGTCGACTCCTGACACATCAACTCTGACATCCCACCAAACGATCTCCTCCGTATGAAGTCCTGTTGACGGTGTGAGGGAGGGATAGACGGAGTGAGGGAGGGATGGAGTGAGGGAGGGAGGGAGTGATAGAGGGAGTGATAGAGGGAGTGATAGAGGGAGGGATAGAGGGAGTGAGGGAGGGATATGTGGAGTGAGGGAGGGACATATGGAGAGAGGGAGGGATAGATGGAGTGGAGGAGGGAGAGATGGAGTGAGGGGGTGATAGACGGAGTGATAGAGGGAGTGAGGGAGAGATAGAGGGAGTGAGGGAGGGATAGATGGAGTGAGGGAAGGATAGATGGAGGGGTATATTGAGTGAGGGAGGAATAGTCTAGACAAAAAAGTGAGACAGACTTTTGTTCTCCTTCCAAACTTTTTTTCCGGTTTAAGATTCAAGTATCATCAATATGTATGAAGTAAAGTATTTGTTTACATATATATATATATACTCACCCTGTCATACTGCAGGTGCGGCAGGTGTAAAGTCTTCTTGCGCCTGGCGGTGGTCGTCATCTTCTGCAAGGGTAGTTGGGTCATGTCAGTGTGGTCGTGATGAGGTGGTTGGGTTTTTGTGGTCATCAGAACAATAGGCGTGGGTGGAGTGGGGTGGGAGGGGAGTTGGAAGGGTAGGTGGTGAGAAGGTCGGGGGATATATGATATACAATCTCACTTCTGCAACACAATTATCATTTACAATTTACTCTCAGTGACACGTCGCCTTTCTTTTCTGTTCTTAGCCTACGAATTTATACATGACAGACAATAAGTACGCCTCTTCCTCTTCTTCCTCCCCTCCTTCTCTTCTTCCTCCTCCTCTAAACATCACAGATCCACTTCTATATAAGGAACACCATTATATCTGTGACATGTCGTAATGCGAGTGAGTGGAAGTCGTGATACCGGCCTCCCACTACCAGCTCCACTTTCCCGCTGCGTGTGTCATTATTCTTAGAAGGGTCGTATGCTATGATCGATAAGCTATTTGCTCAACCCTATAATTACGTAAATATTGAGCTTCAGTAACTAGTGTAATAATTCTTTGCCGAATTGAAATAATGATTCGTCATTATCCAACGTAAGTGTTCGAGAATATTGAGGAAGCCATCGTGTGGTGCCAGGGTGGGTGGGACTGTATTGTATATCACACCTTCTGTCTCTCCTCCAGTCTTTACAACACAACGTTAATGTTTATTGAATGTTGAGTTACAAAAGCAAGTACTGTAGACCAACCCTGCAGGTGCAGTTATGAACCACTGAGGAAAGATGTCTGTCTATTGTGAGTGAGGAGTGGAGATGTCAAACTAGAATAGCCACTATATGAGCCAGTCAATGTATGGTGAAGAAGCGCCTTCACGTCGACAAATTTTTACCGGTCTGATAGTCAGGAAAGGTGGGCATTGGGCTGATTAACGCAGCCCTAATCGTCCGGTGAAGGTGAAAATACACGTTAGATCCCTGGGTGTGCGGTGAGGGCAGCTAAGTGGTCGTTCTCGTGTGGCTGCCCAGCAGAGAAGGTCAACTCACAAACTGTTGGTCAGGTAAGGTCAAGTCAAGGCCTTAAACTGTCTTTGCAACACCGTCAAGGCTATAGGTAGGAGAATCATTCTTGGTAACGTTTACCTCCGAGATTATTATAAGGTATTGGCCAGTAGGGTTAAGACCGAGATAAGAAAAGCAAAGAGGAATAATGAACTGAAGGTAGCAAGGGAGGCGAAGGCAAACCCCAAGGGATTCTTTTAAATGTATCAAACTAAAACACGAGAAAAGATTGGACCAATACAGTCAGATACCGGCGAGCTAACTGATAACGACGGAGAAATGAGCAATAATCTGAATAAATATTTTTCAACAGTTTTCACCACCGAAAATTTAAACATGATACCCGAGGCACCGACCATATACAGAGATAGTGAAGAAAATAGATTTAGCGAGATAGTAGTGACTAGTAACGATGTTAGTAAGCAAAAAGACAAACAAAAGCCTAATAAGTCACCAGGTCCAGAAGAGATATTTGCCAGAGTATTAAAGGAATGTAAGGAAGAGCTTAGTATGCCCTTAGCAAAGTTGTTTAACATGTCCTTAAAAACAGGTGTAGTACCATAATCCTGGAGGATAGCGAATGTAATATCGATTTTAAAAAAGGGAAAGAGATCACTATCCTCTAACTACCATCAAATCAGTTTAACATCAATTGTAGGCAAATTACCGGAAGCAATAATTTTAAACTATTCGAACTCACCTGGAGAAGCACAAGTTGATCAATGATTCCCAACATGGCTTCACAAGCGGGCGTTCATGTCTAACTAATCTATTAACATTCTTTTCATCTGTTTTCGAATCAGTAGACGAGGGGCACGACTATGATGTGGTATATCTCGACTTTAGCAAAGCCTGCGACAGAGTCCCCCACGAAAGACTAATAAGAAAAGTGGTGTCTCATGGCATTGAAGGAGATATTCTAAAATGGATTAGGGCGTGGTTTCAGGACAGGAAAAAGCGAGTGAGCATTAACGGCACTAAATCCGATTGGAGCAACGTCACTAGTGGAGTACCCCAAGGCTCAGTACTTGGACCATTATAATTTATTATATACATAAAAGACATAGATATCGGCGTAGATCACAACCTAAGTAAATTTGCTGATGATACTAAAATAGGACTCCGCAAAACTACAGGAGGATTAAAAAAATTTTTCGAATGGCCTGAAAAATGACAGATGAAATTCAATGTGGACAAATGTAAAGTACTCAGTCTAGGAGATGTAAACAGAGAAACCCGATACCAGATGAACAACGATGCTATAGAGAAATCCGACTGCGAGAAAGACTTAGGAGTAATGATAAGTAGGAATCTTAAGACCAAGTAAACAATGTGTATTTGCTCGAAACAAGGCTAATAAAGTACTTGGGTTAATACAAATGAGTGTTAGTTACAAGACTAGCGAGGTCATCCTAAAACTATATCTTGCGCTTGTGATACCTTACTTGGATTACGCAGTTCAGTTCTGGTCTCCGTATTACAGAATGGATATAGAATCCCTAGAAAGAATTTAGAAGAGAATGACAAGTCTAATCCCGGGCATTAGGAACCTTGAGCACAGAGACAGGTTAAAGCATCTTAATTTGCACTCCCTCGAGAGACGTAGAGTGAGGGGCGATATGAGAGAGGTGTATAAATGGAAGTCAGGGCTAAACAAAGGGGACATTACAAAGGTACTCAAACTATCCAACCAGGAGCGAACTCGTAACAATGGTTTTAAATTAGACAAATTTATATTTAGGCGCGAAATAGGTAAACATTGGTTTCGAAATAGAGTAGTGGACGAGTGGAACAAGTTACCAAATATCATCATTAACTCGAATACGCTGGATAGCTTCAAACATAGGTTGGATGGATATATGAGCAATAGAGGTTGGGTGTAAATGGGACTGCCAATAGACCAGCTGCAGTTTCCTCCATTCTTAGGTTCATGTTTGACGTCCTCCATGAGTGCAGGGTGGAGTCTCGACTGACGGGAGAATGGAGTCGCCAGTTATGATATATATAACATCATCATCCAAATAGCATTATTGTTCGAGCACTGACAGCTGATGAAACACGATACACTCTCACGGAGACTTTATCACAAAGCAGGAATTCTATACGACTGAACCATCATGTATGACCCGAGGTTGACCAGTCACTGCATGGTAAAGTTATGGATTACCTGGACGTCTGGCCACACAAAATTACAATTCATAGTTGTACATTATGCCAGACTTGTGTGGCCATTGTGACAACAGTTGAAGAGGAAAGACGAAGACTGTTGCCCAGACGTAAATAAAGACAAAGTTCTTACACCCACCACTATTCATGTTTCACGGGTCGTATTTCTTATTTAGGACTTCAACAACCACCTGACACACACACACACACACACACACACACACACGGAAACAATAACAATATAATTAAGGGTAGTTACATTAATAGCTCTCATTATATCAGCGGTCAAAACTGTACTGCAAAAACTCTTACTCGTATAATTACCTGTATTAAAAGATTATACCAACAATTAAGGAAAAAAGCAACAATCCAGGCACAATTAGTCTCAGTCCTCGCCTCATTAATGACGCTAATGGCAAAATAACGAGACATCACTTACTAATTTACCCTCATTTTTCTTTTACCTGGACGTGCACAGTAATGGCCAGGTGTACAGGCTTAATCAGCGAATCAACTACAAACCCGATTAGATGACACAACAAATATTATATCGACCTCAAGTTGAACAGGGTTAAGGCTGAAGGAATCTATACCTGCTCCTGACAAATTGAATGTGACTTGAAAATTAATGTTACTTAAATTCTCACGTTACCTTATGCATTTTTTTATAATTAAGAATATGAATATTTCTCTACTTTATTATGGATAATATTCACCCTTGCATATTTTTTTTTCAATTAATATTTTCTTGCATTAATGTTTTTTTTGTTTTTTACACTCACCAGATATGTATGATAAGTCTGCCGACATTCACTATTCTGCCACCATTCACCAGTCTGCCACCATTCACCATTCTGCCACCATTCACCAGTCTGCCACCATTCACCAATCTGCCACCATCCACCTGTCTGCCACCATTCACCAGTCTGCCACCATTCACCAGTCTGCCACCATTCACCAATCTGCCACCATCCACCTGTCTGCCACCATTCACCAGTCTGCCACCATTCACCAGTCTGCCACCATTCACCAATCTGCCACCATTCACCATTCTGCCACCATTCACCAGTCTGCCACCATTCACCAATCTGCCACCATCCACCAGTCTGCCACCATTCACCATCTCCTGCCACCATTCACCAGTCTGCCACCATTCACCAGTCTGCCATTCACCATTCTGCCACCATTCACCATTCTGCCACCATTCACCAGTCTGCCACCATTCACTATTCTGCCAACATTCACCAGTCTCACCATTCACCAGTTGCCACCATTCACCAGTCTGCCACCATTCACCATTCTGCCACCATTCACCAATCTGCCACCATCCACCTGGGGTTATGATCACCATGCACGAGGGGCAGTATCACATAACTGCCATGCATCATCGTCAACTCGTCACCCAGTCCGAAATATCGAGGTGTTTCTTGTGTCTGATTACTACATTTGGGAGTCCTGCGTGCGCCATTACCACCCACTTGTTGCTAGTGGAGGGGTGAGAGGGACGAGTCGTGAGAGGGAGATGGGAGGCGAGTGGTGAGAGGGAGGGGGACGAGTGGTGAGAGGGAGATGGGAGGCGAGTGGTGAGAGGGAGGGGGACGAGTGGTGAGAGGGAGATGGGAGGCGAGTGGTGAGAGGGAGGGGGATGAGTGGTAAGAGATGGGTGTAAGATTACTGCCAACTAAAGCTAAATTAATTCAGTCTTTATCCAACAACATCCTTCCAAATCCAACTTTTTTAAACCACCGTAACTCATATTAACCAAACCCACCGTAACCTTAACACGGGTATAGGTATGGGTTATGAAAATGTTCCGTGTTACCTAGACACTACAGGTGGTGGTACAATTAGTCAGAGAGGGATTGTAAACACGTCGGGAAGGTTGTGGGAGGAGCCACTAACTAGAGCGGCCAACACCTGGTGCCCGGTATTAATGGTCAAATTATTATTATTACAGTGTCCACAATGTCCTGTTGCCACTGTGTACTTGTTCTTCAATGCACTTTCAAATGAACAGTTATCTATTATTGAGTGTTCACTGTTAGAAAGGTAAATGTGTTGTGGGTACAGTATACAAACGAAGTATAAATGAAGTATTTCGTGTGAATATCCATCAGTAGACTTAGAAGTAACACAAGGGGTAGTGTTCATGGTTTAATTATTGTAGATATTACTTCCCGTCTCCTGTTGAACCTTCTCACACTACCTGAACCACACACAACACAGGGAGGTATGACTGTCAACACAACACAGGGAGGTATGACTGTCAACACAACACAGGGAGGTATGACTGTCAACACAACACAGGGAGGTATGACTGTCAACACAACACACACAACACAGGGTATGACTGTCAACACAACACAGGGGGTGAACTGTCAACACAACACAGGGAGGTATATGACTGTCAACACAACACAGACTAACACAACACAGGAGGTATGACTGTCAACACAACACAGGGAGGTATGACTGTCAACACAACACAGGGAGGTATGACTGTCAACACACAGGGAGGTATGACTGTCAACACAACACAGGAGGTATGACTGTCAACACAACACAGGTAGGTATGACTGTCAACACAACACAGGAGGTAGGTATGACTGTCAACACAACACAGGGAGGTAATGACTGTCAACACAACACAGGGAGGTATGACTGTCAACACAACACAGGGAGGTATGACTGTCAACACAACACAGGGAGGTATGACTGTCAACACAACACAGGTAGGTATGACTGTCAACACAACACAGGGAGGTATGACTGTCAACACAACACAGGGAGGTATGACTGTCAACACAACACAGGGAGGTATGACTGTCAACACAACACAGGGAGGTATGACTGTCAACACAACACAGGGAGGTATGACTGTCAACACAACATACCGGGAAGAACTTGTTGCTGCTGTTAAATTATTCACAGTTTGTAAGTGCGCATGTCAGTGTGAGTCTGTCTGCGAATTTTGTGCTTGTGTGTCTAGATGTTGGTTAAGATATGTATAAAATATCGATTGAGTAACTAACTTCACTATGTGTGTGAGAGAGAGAGAGAGAGAGAGAGAGGTAGGTAGCACTCCGATATACACTGCACTCTCAAAACGAACTTAAGGTTATATAAACGTACCAGTAAGCTGAGGTATGTGTGTCGCCTTACTGTGGTCAGCGTCTCCTTGCGTTACCTCCTGCTGTTAAAACTCCTTCCCTACTGACCTCTCATGGCAGGGCAGACCAGACCGCCCGTCCCTTATATACGTATCGGCGGATCAATTAATTTGGGCAGAGCTGTCTTTAACCAGCGTCATTTCACTTAGTCAGGATTATGCAAATATTACCTGGATAATGAGGTATTGTATAGAGCACTGAGGAGGCGATGAAGGGCGTGTCACTCCGTTTATAGAGACGCTGTTAGGGTGGTGATTAGTGCTCTCTCGTCTTTACAACGGGGACTGTGAACACCAGCGAACAATATCACACGATTGGCTAATTCATTAATCAAGGAAACGAGGAAAAATATCATTTAGGCGTATTTTTATTTATATTTTGAATAATAAAAAAATTAAATATATTTCATTTATAGAATTTGTTATTCATTGATAATTCTTAATAAACTCGTAGAATAAATTACTCGCACATGAAGCAGGTTGATAAATTATTTGTGGGTGAACCAGCGATACGCACCAGTAGCAAGCAGCAACGTGTGTCTCAGGAAGGCTATAGAAGGTCTCGTATTTGCATTCGTTCATTTCTTGACATTATTTACGTCAACAGAGTAAACACAATGAGGGGAGCCGTTGTATAGAGTTACCTGGTATTATTGTGGTAGTATAGGGAACAAGAGACTACTTTATGCAGGGGTGTTGAGGTGTGTGTAGGGGGGGGGGGGTGTAGAAGCAATACCTGCCGACACGCACACCTGTTTTTTTTGACTAGTCATTACATCAATTAAGGTAATCATATCGTATTTATTGTCCTTTACCTTTACGTTCTCTAGAATTCACCTGATAAAATTATACCAAATAATTCAATAATAGCTTTTATGACGAGCTAAAGTTACCAGTGAGGAAGTGTGTTGTGTATTAGTTGAAACAGGAAAAATGGTTATAGTTTATATACTTGGTGATATTTATAGATATATTGGTGTATAAATTGAGATGTTTTACCCCCGAGCATTACATCATTTTCTTTGTGTGTTTGTTGACGAGCTGGTTATAATGTTCAGACCTCGTGTGTGTAAAAAAAAACTCATAATTGACTTCAAGAATACAGTCACTGAGGGAGTTGGTGAGTCATAATTACTATATTGCTTCCGCATCGGAGACTCAGATATTAATAATTTTATTCAACAATGTCAAGACTAGTCTGATTTTGTTGACTTTTGCCACACATAACGAGACTGAGGACATGTTTTTCAATTGGCTGACTACTGTACTGTGAAGCGTCTCGTCGTAATATTACAACCGCTGATTAATTTAACTGACATTTCTCACGTATCGTTATAATGAGGTGTGTAGGAATAGTAGTCATTCCTGGGTTGTGTTTGCTGCTGACGGTCAACAATGAATCAGTTTTAAGGGCAGATATGACAGGTATTTGGGGACTTAAGAAGTTCAGTATCCCTTCACGACCTAAAATGATGCGATGATTAACCTAAACTACACACAAGAAGGGATTATTATTTTGTATAAGATGAAAACTCGTAAAGGCTGACATGTTTGTAGGGCAGGACTGTACTGTACTTTGCTTAGAGTAACGCGCGGCAGAGGAAACATTATTAGTGAGGTATATGACGCGATGAAGTAGCAACTGGTAGGCGTTACTGTTTACTACACGGAAAATAATGTGACACTTATTGTTTTGTCAACACGACGCCTTAGTTCACCCTCTGGGCTGGAGGTCCGTCAGGGATTAAACCGAAATATATTGGGTGGCTCGGGTAAATACTGTCCCAGATGTGAACGTGGCCGCTACAGCAGCTGGTTGACGGCCCATTTGACGCCGCTCCTCCTGATAAAACGTAGAATTATACACAGTGGAGCGGGAGATTCAGGCTGAAATGTGGTGACATGAACGGAGGTCCCCGGCTGGGTTAGTGTTGGGTCGCGCGCCGTGACAGTCGCTCTTATTTAAACACCAAAAGTCACAAAACATTCACTAACATTTGAGAAAATAAACATTTATTTAGCTCATTGTTCATGTTTTATGGACACATTTACTTGTGAACTTAATATAAATTGTATATTTTTTTTTACGAAATAACAATATTCATCATAGCAATAAGCTTAATATTTAATGTTTGTTTACTTCAAATTTATGTTCCATAAATTATTCAACAGGTTGTACCTTACTGCCAGGTAACTTGTGTGTTATTACCTTACCATTCACAGTCTTCCACCAAGGACTAAAAGACAATAATGACACCTGTATCATCTACCTAATGAATCAATTAAAATAACATTGGAAGATATTAAGTGATTTACGATAAAACACTAAACTTACAGACGAACACCGTGACACAGACATATAAACACGGTGTGACATCATAATGGTCCGCATGAGTTACGGTAACACGGGGATGATGGCAGGGTGGCAGCAATTAGCCAGAGGAACACTTACTGTACAGTACACACCTGGCTCAACACCTGACTCAGTACATCTATAATTAACCCAAGACGTAAACAAGGAAGGCAAGGTTTACGTGTAGACAAAGAAACACATGTATCCAGGCTTTCTATTATTATAACAATTATTTACCTTCCTGGTGTGTGCAGGTGACTCATCTTGGTCCGCCCACACCCAGGCAGTGGGCGGGGTGTGTCGTGGCATCTGCGTCATGTGGGCGTGGTATTATTTTCGCGTCACGTGATCGTAAGAAATGGGCGAGGCTTAGTATTGCTTCAGGTAGAATGGACGTAGCAACTGCAAGAGGCATTGTATTAGCTCAGGGTTGCATAGGCGTGGAAGATGGGCGTTAGGTGGTGTTGATTCCAGGTAGTGTGGTGTGGGCGTGGTATACAACCAGTTTCCAAAGGTGTGGTATTATTTCCATTGATTCTAAAAACTTGTTGACTAGAACTTAAACATTGTTGACAGCAAAGCTCTAATGGTGTTCAGTGTTAGGAGAAAAGGTGTTATATCTTGGTCATATACTGGTCTGAAAACTTGTTATACTTTGGTTATATAACACTGTCACGGGGCCTTCAGACCGAGAGGAAGGGCTTCTGGAAACTCGTATAAAAATGACATATATTACACTACATTCATTCACACAGCAATTTTCATGTCCAAATATCTCCAATTACTTAAAGCACAACTCGGCGGCTATCTTGTACCCAAGGTCAATATAGAGAGGTCGGCCGGTACAGCGGTCTAGTTTTCGGCCTTGTGCTCCCACCGGTGCCCCCCCCCCACAACCCCCCGCCAGTGACATGACACAGATCATATCCCTCTTCCAAGAATTTACCAACCGTATTGAACAACTCTTCGCTACACTCTGTACCACCATCTCCCACCTACTCCTGCCCTCTGTTGCCACCCAGTCACTCCTCTCTGCTGGTTTGACACAAGCTGTTGGTCCCCCTGTGAGCCCCCCCTGCTCACGGCCTACTCCACCGCCGGCGGCCTTCACTACTGGTGTAGCGCCTACCGGGCCTGCCCTGGTGTGTCCTGCTGCCCCCGAGCGAAGTTCTGCACCATCCTCACGACACTTGGTGCCTCAACCTGTCCTCCACCCACCGCAAGCAGCGCCCGCTCCTGTGTCTGAGCTGTCTCCACCAGGGCTACCTGGACCTGAGGACACCATCCCCGGCTACCTGTGCCCCACCGACATGTCGACGAACACACCATCACAATTACACGAAAAGGTGTGTCCCTCAATGTTGTCATTGCCTATGTGCCTCCCTCCACCCCTACTGTACCTGCCCCACCACACCATATCACCTCCACCCCCACTGTACTTCGCCCCGCCTAGTGCAGTGCAGTGACGTCACTTGAACTAAAAGCTGGCTGGTCCGCTCCTGCCCTCTCTCTCTCTCTCTCCACTAGTCTGTCTACCTTAACAGTATCATCTCCCCGTTTCCTATATCCTGGTATAGGGAGGTTTAGCTCGGAAAGAAGGAGAAAGATGTAGCTATAGTAAGAGAGGCTATCTAAAAGGGTGTCATAAAGGGTCTGGCCCCTTCATTGTGGGGGGAAGGAGAGCTGCCATTATTTGAACATTCTTACTAACTTCCTGAAATTCCTACGCTTATTTTAGTGCAATTTATCTGCGCACTTGAGTTCATAACTGGTTCTTCTGAAATGTTTCCATATTAGTGTGGATGCATCTAAAGGGGGAATAAATATATTATGATAACTTATATTATATTTACATCCATAAGTTATGAATAAATAACATATATGATTCACATCAACTGTAACCCAAGGCAATCTGTTTTTCCTACTTCCATTTTGATATTTTCATAAATTTTCTATTTTCACTTCTACAATTCTTACTTGTTTTCTTATTTATCTTAATACTACTGTTCAGTTTAAGGAACACAGATATTGTCACAGAAGGATAAAACATCCTGGGGTACATCAACTCTCTATCTCAGACACAATTGTTTTGTAAGTCCTTCCCCTCCATAAGACTGTCCCCATGTACAGCCTTAAATACGTCTCTCATAGTGGTTAATAGAGTGTCAGAAGGAACATACAGTTAACCTCTGTTTATGTCTTCTGTCCATGTTTTGGTCATGGATGTGCACTCAGTGACTTTCTGGCCTAAGTGAGGATATTTCACACAAAACCTCCTTACAATATAGCCACCAACGTACCTAAGAGCTTCCTCTTCTATGACTAAATCTACTGCTTTACCGTCATTTTTGTCAGGGTTTATACACTCTCCTAGGCTTTCATTAAACTCATCATTTAACTTTGTTCTACTTAATTACCAATATCCAAGTCTTTGAAACATTGATTAGTTATTTAGAGTTCTACTGCCAGCTCTCTGTCATTGAAAGGTGTACTTTTATCATTTGTTTGTTGTCGGGTTGTTTATCTGCCCAAGTTCAAGCTGCTCTCTGAAAGCATGTGCTACCGCTGGATCCTCCAGACGCTTAGTGTTAAAACCTCTTCTGGAGGCTTGCTGCCTTTGCCGTTTTGGGGCAGTGTCGCAGTGGTCTGGCCACGCATGGCCCGGATGACGAGGACATCTCGGCCATCT